CCCCCCCACACACACACACACTCTCTCTCTCTCTCTCTCTCTCTCTCTCTCTCTCTCTCTCTCTCCATTCGTTTCACGCATGCATTTCGACTCGCGTGTACTTATTCAATTAATCGCGAGCCTCGCTATTGCACCTCCGCGCGTCTCCGCATCCCTCAGCTCTTGTCGCTTTTACACTCGCTCGTGTATCTCCATACCTTCGATTCGTAGCAGTCGTAACACTCTTCGAGACGGCTCTCGTCCGTCCCCGCGAGCAAACTCACCGATTTTTTTCGTAATAATAAGTATCAACAAAGAGATTCCTATACAGGGTCGAACCCTAGCCTATCCTATACGCTAATAAACTACGGCCTTACGATCTAGAGGTATACATGCTGACGATTTTTACGACAGATGATAGGTAAGCTTTCTCTTTTTCTCGTTTTCCGTCTTCGTCTTTACCCCTCTCTTTCTCCATCTCTTCATTTCTCCTTGCTCTAATGCAATTTTTGCTGTTTCCTTTGTCTCGTCGCAATCTTGCTCATCTCACGTCGTAAACGTCCTTAAGTATTTATAAAATCACAAACTTGGCCGCGTGCCGAGCCCCATGACTCAGCAGTGCCGCGAGATATGGTGGCATCACAATTTAATTAACGCTCGTTCAACACCCACATCTTCGTCACATCCTCTAACGTTCCTTGGGCACGAAAGAAAGTAAGAGTCACTGGTACAATTCGTTAATTCTCATAGCGATGGAAGGAAAGTGATACGAAAAAACGGAAGGCGAAACGTGTACTGCGGAAAAATCTTAACGACACGGAAATGTCGATTGTATAAAGTTGCGCGCGTCCTACCTTGGACATATATTCGATTGTGATTGAGAAAAGTTGCGAGAAGCGGAAAAATTCTCTCGCGATGTTTCTCACGTGTCGCACGTGATATCCTATAACGAGAAGGAAACGTTCCAAACAATTACGCGCGCAGGTCTATTCTAGAGCATAATCTTCTCGTAACGACTAAAAATGTAGTAAATCGGAAAAGAAGAGGGGAATCAGTATAAAAGAAAACAATATGAGACAGATGTATATAAAACGGAATTTGAGGCCCCTCTCCAATGTAGAGTTTTTGAAGGGTCTTACACACGCTAATCGTGCCACCAACCCAGGAATGATAAGATGCGTCCTCGATGACAGACTAAAACGATCGCCAAAAACGGAAAAGGAGTCGCATTGCGTGTTGCGTTGCGTTGCGTTTGCATTTGCATTTATTCTGCGAATGAACGAAATCTCTTACTATAATAATATCGTCGCAACGACAAAGTCTTTTCGACGGAGATATCCACATTTAGGCTGAAAGAGTGCGGTGGCGAAGCTCATTTCTGGACAAATCTTCAAATTACGCGGAACTTTTTATCCCCATCTCGAAACGTCAATTTTGATTTTCTATATTTTGTTTGCATGCGAACTAAAAAGTAATTGAAATACTAATTACAATGAAATAAATTTTTAATAATTCTATTTGTATTGTTAACTATTTGTAATCAATAAAACTAATAAATAATTTTATAATATTTCTAATGAAATATAAGAAATATATGTGATATAGATCTCTTGTCAATTTTTTTTTAGTTAAAGATTAATCCCCGTAGCACAATTGTTAACATATTATTTATATTTTTTATTTTTTATCAAATTAATAAATGTAGAATCATCACAAGAAGAAATTTATCATAAGAGTTGAAATATATAATCATACGATAAGTACAATTTTCAGTGTATAAACGCGCGAAAAAGATATTTTATCATATTTCCATTATACATTTAAATACAAAAATCGCTCTTGCATTCTTATGACATCGAAATCAAAACTCAGCGGATTTACACTGGTCAACAAAATTAACGTATAGATAAAAATTGGATCAACATTTAGCATAAAATCTTCAAATAAGCAAAACTCCGCGAAAAATTATTGTATTTGAAAGTTTTTTGCATTTTCAAAAGTAAAATCTTTACTTTAAAGAACATTAGTCTTCGTTTGAATTTATCTTTCCCTTATCCTTCCATTTTTTAAAAAGTAAAGACGTGTTTTGTCTCTCAAAAATTGCATGATTTGACATATTGTATGGAACAGAATGAACTTTTTATGCAAATATCATAGTAACCATAAAATTTTCTCACAAATTTAAAAAAGTTCGTACGATTCTTTTTCGCGGAGGCGATTTTTATTCTCGCCTCGTCTTCGAATAATCTCTCGTAGATGCTGTAGCATATAATGTGCAGGCTCTAATTATGATTGATAAATCAGATTGCATTTTAACTTATTAAGCGCAGTACTTACTAATACTGTTATCGTTCGGACAACATACAAAAATAACAATACTATAGCAATACACAATTTTGAATGCGACGTACGCAAACTCCTTTACCAAGCAAAAATTCATGGGTAACTTTGACATGCTATAACTTCGCGAAAAAACGAATGGTACGAATTTTTCTTTCTTCTTTAATTTGTAAAAAAAAATCCAAATTTTACGATGATTACCATGATATTTGCGAAAAAGTTCATTCTGCTCCGTATAATACATCAACTCATGCAATTTTTTGCGAAACGTCCTTACTTGTTAAAAAGTGGAGGGATGAGGGAAAGGTAGATTCACGAAACACGATGATTAATTCTTTAAAGTATAAATTTTATCTTTAAAAATGCAAAGAAAACTTTCAAATACGACAATTTTCCGCAAAGTTCTGCTCATTTGAAGTTATACTAAATTTTGATATAATTTTACCTAACTTAATTTTATTCTAATTAATGTATATTAGTTTCAATCCTTCATCCATAAATATGTTGTGTACGATATATATTATATATCGTACAATCACAAGAAAATTAATGATCAAAACTACAAATATTATAATTTGATCCATCTTGTTTTACGGCAATAATATATGCAATAGAATGTAATTTAATGCAATTATGTTTTAATTATGAGAAATTATTTTTCATTTGTTTGCACGAAGATTTCTTTGACGTTACCGATATAGCCACGACACAGCCTCTTTAAGCATAAACCCGAAGACGTCAAATGCGCCGACGACGTCATTCGGCGCGGCGGTGTTCGCGGAGAAGGGGATGAAAATTTTCAACCATATCGCTAGTTTTACAGTCGTTACAGTATAGATACACTTATGTACAAATGGCACCGCTACTTACGGGGCTCGGACTATACGTACTTGCTGGACAATTGCTTTGCCAGCTCCGTATACTTGAGAAATTTGGAGTGCGGACTCTCCTCGAGGGGTGAGGCCGCTGACTGCGACGGGCTACCGTTCGCTTGCGGAAGCGGCGGCGACTTGTTGCGCTGCGACGTCGGCGGCGACGAGGAATTGCGACTCGGCCCACCGGAAGTGCCCTGGGATGCCGCCGCGGCCGCCACGGCTGCGGCCGCTGCTGCCGATCTGCCGATGGTCAATGGATCCGGGATGACGCCATCTTTGACAAAGTGCATCTTGGACAAATGATGCCTGTACGCGCCTTTCGAAATGAAGGGCGTATCGCAAAATGCGCACTTCATTATTGAATCTGCGGTAACCACGGCATCGTTGCATGCCCAGCTAAAAGCCAAGATGGCACCTGGTGTTGGTCCAGGACCCGGACCGGTCACTCCTACCGTGCTACCGCTGCTCGAACCGATGGTGCTACTTGTGGAACCACCTCCGGATCTCGAGGCACCGCTGGCACTGGGACCTCGCGTTTCCGTCTTATCGCATAATTTTTGCAGCGCCGCGAGAGGATGGCTGCTCGTTTTGCGTCCTTGCGAGTCGACATTGCTGCCTCCGCCACCACCGCCACCGCCGGATAAGCTGTCAAACATGGAGGAGAGCGCTCCGAGGCTACTGGATGCCTTAGTATCAGGTGTACCCCGTGGCGTGACAGATCGGTCGCTGCTGGTAGGACTGCTCGTGCTGTTCCTACAGGGACTACGCGCGACCTGTTCCACCTGGCTGGTCGGTCGGGGAGTAGGCGGATTCATTCGAGGTGACAGAACCTCTCGTCCATCCTCCGGCGTCTCGTGGAGGCTGCTTCGTCGGTGATTGTAGGAACTCTGATCCTCCTCGTCCCTGCAGTCGTCCACTATCTCCTTTTTCACGAATACCTCCCTCGTCGACTGCGACTGTTGCTCCTCCTCGTTCGCGCCTCGCTCCTCCGTCTCCTCATCTCTCGGTTCTTTCTTTACTACCACGGTAGATGATTCCTCGTCACCGGATTCCTCCGTAGTTTGATGATGGCGACTAGGTAACGGAGCGGCCTGCTTCTCGGGAGTGACGCGATGATGATGAGGCAAAGAGTGTCTTTCATGGCTCGCGTTAGATAGATCCATGCGTCTTTCTGGTGTCATAGTATCCGTCCTGCCGCTTCCTCGTTCCGATATCGAACTGGACTCGCTGCCGCTTCGCTCTCTCCTCGCCGCGGCATTGGCATTGTAATGTTGCTGCTGGTGTTGCTGTTGATAAGATCGAAGTAGATTCATTGTTTGCGGATCCACCAGAGGTTTCGTGTAATCTACGCTCTCGTCGATGCCCAATCGCTTGAGGATACTTGTACCCATCGGCGCGCCGCCGGGCTGAGCGTGATGCAGGCCGGGCGTGCCGTGTCTCACGCGAGAATCAAAACTCTTCTCGATGAGTTTTTCTATTGCGTTCAAAACCGATGGCGAGGTACCTATCGGAGCGGTAGTCTCCGTGGTGGTCGGTGTAGGAGTATCTTTTCCCGGTGTAGTCGCGTCGCTGGCCGAGGATGGAGACCGATGATGCCTCGACGATATCGAAGACGTTTCCTCGTTGACGCTCTTACGTCCGCTCTCGGTTGGCGGTAACGTCGCGGGCAAATGATTGGACATGAGCGCATTCTTCAGGAAGTTCCGCTGATTGACGCCCACCGTGCCCGCGCCGATACATTGACGTATATGTTCGACAAAAAGTGGAGTCTCTATCTTCTCGCCGCATTTTTCGCACGTAATTCTGCCGGCATGCTTGCCAAGAGTGTGGGTCAGTCCAGCCGCGGCGTCGCCATTTTTGAATTCGTTTTGCGCGCGTTCTAGTTCCAACAATTTTCTTACAGGCAGTGACTTTTTCCGCTTCTCTCGCGTCTGCCGCCGACGTCCACCAGTCTCGGTGATCGAGCGCATTATGTGCTCCTTGTAATGCGAATTCTTTACCATGTGGTTGCTCAACTCCTTCAGAGAGCTGAACGCTTGATCGCAAACTTTGCAGGTCAGTACAGCGCTAACGTGACTGCTTGTGGCGCCAGCACCAGGACCACCATTGTTTCCGTGAGGTCCGGATCCTCCGCCTGGTTGTACTCCCGCGCCGCCCCCTCCACTTCCAGTGACACTTCCGCCACTTCCAGCAGTGCCGGTAGCGTTAGTGCCCTTGCTCTCGTCCGACGACTTCCAGGATATTATCTGTTCTTGAGAAATAATGTTCGTATAATGTTGCGTTTGCTGCATATGCGAAGTCATCTCGGCTAGCGAGCGGAAACTTTGTCCGCACCACATGCATTTCAAAATTTGTCGCGTTTGCTCGGCTCCTTTGCCTAACCAGACATCTTGGCCTCGCACGAGCTTTCGCGGCAGTGGCATTGTTTCCTTGATTAGTAAATTCAAATCGGATGGACTTTGTTTACTGCTGGGTGTGGCCGAATTGTTGCTACCGGTATTGCCGGTAGAGGTTTGTGGTTGATGCGGCTGTTGAGGCGGTGGTATGCTTGGCATCGTCGTCTGCTGTGAATGAATTCCTGGAGCCGGTGGCGGTACCGGCATGTTAACACCACAGTGTTTCGCCTCCTTCATGTGCGTCGTCATCGCGGCTAAAGTCGGGAAGCTCTGTTTGCACCATACGCATTTTAGAACGTCTTTCGCTTGATCGGCACCTTTATTCAACCAGTGGGATTGCCAGGCGCTATGACGACTGCTAGATGTTGTCGCCGGTGCATTGGATCCCGTTGAGGCAGCACCACTTCCTCCGGAAGACGATCTGAAGAGATCCTCGCCACCCAGCTTGCTCAGTTCGCTCATCTTTTCAAGCGCCTTCGTAGCCTCGCTAGGTTGATACGGCTTCTCCAGCGCGGCTGGCGGTTTCATCTTTCCGTTCCAAAGCTGATGATGATCCACCACTCCGCCAGTACTTTTCGGCGAAAGCTGCTGCTGACTAGTAGCCGCTGCCGCTACCGCTGCGGCAAAGTATGGGAAGTGCGAGGCCACTACCGGAGATGTCCATGGAGACACCACGGGTGGCCTACTGAAGCTGGATGGCGTGACTCCTGGCGACGCCGTTTCCTGATGACTCGTGGAACTCGTCGTGGAAGCCAGTCTCGATGACTTGCGTGGCGGAGGTGGCGGCGAGTCTTCTGGGCCGGGTCGTTTCCTGCTGGGTACCGAAAGATCCAACGGACCATTGTTCGTTTCCGTCGAGGAGGACGGTGTAGGTGGTTTACTGAGATTTAATATTTGTTCTTCCTCGTCCTCCTCAGTCGAGGATGTTTTCCTCGTGCTAAAGTCCAATACAGCCGGCAAGGGTGTTGCCGACGGTGAGATCTCTCCGACGCTGGTAGGCGACACTAAGAGACCGGGAGTGGCGGCTGGCGGCGAGCACGAGGAGGAAACCAGTGGCGACACCGAACCACGCGACAAGGGCGAATGGCCGAGGAGCAGGCGCTGATGAGTCTGTTGCAGATACGCCGCCATGACCGCTGCAGGATGAGATGGTAGCAGGGAGTGAGTTCCAAGAGGCACAATACTACTTGGACTGACTGGGCTCGCGCTGCTCCTGGTAGCAGGTGGTGGGGGACTTCCGGTCGCTGGACCGGACGATTCCCGAGAATCTCTCGAGGGACAGCGCGGACTCATTGGCTCCCTGAAATTGCAAACGATACCGAGCGCTATAATTTTGGAGTACGGACGCGCGTACCCCTCTTCGAGATCTCTTTAGGATTCGAAGTGGCTATGATGGATGAAACGAATCTTATCGGACCTTGACAAGTAAAGATACGCGTTCAGTGAGACTCGCAGTCGGGCAGTGGTCATTAATCATGATAATCGCGCGATAATTTTCTTGTAACCGATCCGCGAGCACCGCTACACAACGCAGGTGACGCCGTGACGTTAATATTTCATAAGCGTCCGCCATAGAAATTACTACGCAAACAGCTTTCGCCATACTATGTATGATGGGAACGACGGATCATCGGTAGATGTAAACGGAAAAAAGACTCGCGTGATAAATAGAGCCTAGGGACGTTAGCGTGTTGCAACGATGGTAACAGCGATGGATAATTCACGCATGAAAACGTCTGTCGTTGCTAACGCTTACACATGCGAAATGCGCACAACACACAAACGTATCATGTAAGCGCGTACGCGAACGTATTATACAACGGAATACGATAGATTATTACCGCGTGTTATCAATATCGAAAACAAAAATACACTTTGCTAAAAGATGAGTTACTCGTCGAGCTGAGAATACGCCTGTTCACATCGGCTAAAGTATTTCTTCGCTTGTGCGGTACCGCGCATATACGACGTAACGTGAGTTAACGGTGCTCTCCGTTCGCGGAGACAGATTACAATTAATTGCACACTCTGGCGATGAACGTTAGTCATCCAGCTCGCGACAAAAACCGTGCGGATTGGTCGAAGTCGCCGAGTGTGCCGCAGGAGCGATCGATACCTGTCGCAACGTCATCAACGCGCGCGAGGATCGACTGTCGGAAGGGAGCACGTGGCCGGAACGATTAGAGCCGCCAGCGCGGTCGTCGTAATGGTTTTGTAAGCCTCGACGCGATGCGCGCGGTGCGACGCAGCGCGCGGCTACGTTCCAGGCCTGTCGACGGCTCGCTCGTAACTGACTGTTCCTGACTGAATGCCGAATGCGTGCTGCGAGATGAAAGGGGATCGCTGCCACGCATGCAGGGGAAGTTTTTGGGGGCTGGCGGGACGGTGCGCGGGTGTGCGGGGGAGCGGGAGCGCCACTGCCGCCCCCGGTTAGGAGGCAGCGCCTGCTAGTGGGGCATCGTCGGTGTGGGACGATGTGTAACACGTGCCTATCTCTATTAGCCGTGTGACGTCGCGCGCGGCAGACACCGATATCAACTCCGACACCGGCTTATTTATCCCTATCCGGGGCCTCGCCCGTCCGTCCCCGCCCGTCCGCCTCGCTCCGTTACCACTTAACCCTCGCCGCCCGACGCTTACTTCGCGCATACACGTATTTACGCGAGAGGCACCGTGACGATTTGTTGCTCTTAAACAACGACGTGCCTCGTGTACACACGAGGGGCGCCCGACGACGGCGAACATCAAAAAGCTCGCGCGCTTGTCGCGTCGGCGCGGCTCGCGATGATTTAGACGCTTTATTATAAAGAGTCTCCGCGCCCGGATAAAGCATCGACTAATGAGTCGCCGGCAGACAACGTCGGGCGAAATTTAGATACGTGCCTCCGACTTTATGCCCACCATTACGCGTCGCTTCTACGACCGCCATAGGTGATTTGCGCCGAAGCGTCACTCGCGCGCGGCTATCCGCGCAGCTGATTTGCATGGGTCGCTTGCCTCGCACAGGTTATGGAAATGTTTGACGTCGTGTATCTCTTTCTTCGCGGACGTAATACCCACGTGTCGGGCGTGCAGAGACACGTGTGCATGTATATAGGCACGTGTGTGTAGAAACATGCGCGACTGACGAATGTAATGAGGATGACCAAAGAAAATTGATACGGATAAATTGCTACTGAGAAAGTGCGAATAAAAGTTGTTATTACTCGTTGCAACACGTTTAAGCTTACACGAGTGATGTTTCTGGTCATTATCATATATCAGTACATTTCTTAGCTTCTTCTTTATAATCAGGTCTTTCAAGTTTCAATAATTATCTCTATCAACATTTGCCAATCTATTCTAGGAAAACACGAGCACCTGTTTTGTTCGTGCGGTCTTGTGACTGTTTTTCTCGGTAATCATTAAGACAGAACAATTATATAGACGAAACGTCGCGGGTCATAAATAGGCAGAAAATTATACAGATGCAAAATTCACCTGTCTGGAGGTCCCGTGTCTCGCAGAATAGCCGGATTTAACCTTGAGGTGGCGGAAGGCGGAGGCGTAGGTGGCGATGCCTCTTCGTCGTCTTCTTCGTCCGTTCTTTCGGCATCCTCGTCCTCTTTCGCAGCGGGCGCGCAGCCCCTCTCGCTGGGGCTAATAGGACCATCCTCGTCGACGCAATCGCCCTCCTCACCTTGGAGGTCCGTACCGGGCGCAGAGCCTTCGACGCCGTCCTCCCCTGAAATCATTCGTCGAAGAAGTGGATTAGTAGCTGTTACCAATCGTAATTTAAAAGGATTATTCCATAACATGCCACGTTTTCTGAAATAACGGCGTGCTACTACATTTCTATTAAATGTCTATACGATATACATTTTGTTGATACTTTTTGTCATTTGTATAACGGAATAGTAGTTATGTTGCATTGGCAATCCAGATATCTTATTGACCCATCGGCGAATTTTCTATTACGCTTGCCGATAAGTCGTTGGACGTGAAAAATACGATATATGACTCTATCTTTGCGGAGAGGAAAATACTCCCTGTCCGTATAATCTCGTGTGACAAGCGAGCAAACTTGTATTGCAGGACGTACTTATGTATTATCAAGTAATTTAGAAGTCAAAGAAATCAAACGCGAATACGTATCAGTTGACGACATCATGTATCGCTTTTTCTACAGGAAGATCGTTGATGTAGGACGCGAATCAAATCCTTCTGTCACCCACACTGTATCTTGATAGAAGAGCAGAGAAGAACGTAGGAGTGGAGATACTGAGAAATGACGAAGCTAAGTACCTAGGAGTGATATAAAGGTTTAGATGGCGAGTAACACAATGGCACTATC